TTCGCACTTTTTCAAACATAAATTTCTTCTTGGGCATTAATTACAAGGTAAAAATTGAAACAAACAATAGCAATGTATGAACAGTTAAATTAATATATGTGATACATTAATAAATACACCAATGGAGCTTTTTGCTTTTTTTCCAACTCGTCTTCTTGCGAAAAGACTCACGAATAAACGCGCCTTAATCAAACAATCTTCAAACTGTTAAGATCTTGATGCAAAAACTTACATCGTCTTTTGACTATCAGAGTTTCCAAAAGATCATTCAAAAGAGACTTACCAAACGACCCCTATATTATTAATAATTCAGTTTATGATTTGCTCTAGTTTCTAAAATTTAGAAAACAAGCCTAAACCGTTTGAAGACTGAACCTGACAAAACCATCACTTTCAATTTGATTCGGTGAGATTTGAGAATCTAAACCATATAATGAACACCCCTAGCTAAGGAGTGATCTGTCCCATTCATGTGTGTTTAGAAAATACAAAATCACTAGTACAAATATATAGGAGTGTAAATGAAAAAAATGCAAATTATCATTTATTTTTTTTTGGCTTTACTTTATTCTACTTCACGCCTTAATTTACATCATTTGTACTACAATCAAACAAGATAAGTTAAAATTTGAAACAAAATTAGGTCAAATTTTACATTCAAATCATTTGCATTGCCATAGTTTTGTATCGGTGCAAATTTATTTGCATTGCAACCAAACACAGCCTAAATAACAATAACTTCCTCAAAACAATTGATCTTCTTGACAGAGTTCCTCAAAGATAAAAAAAATAAAAATAAAAATGACTAAGTGTAAATGATAAGATAATGATGTATTTATTATTAGGGAAAATTCCCAATTAGTACCTTGTACTTTGGGCCTAGTGCCACTTTGGTTCCTAAACTTTAAAATGCGACAATTCAATATTCAAACTTTTAAAACGTGACAACCCAGTACCTGTTGTTAACTAGCTGTTAACCAGGCGTTAAGTGGCATTTGAAAAAAACACAAATGCCCTTCAAGTGTTATTTAATTTTCTTTATCAGCCATCTAAACGTTGACAAAAAATTCACAATCCCAAATCCTTGCCTTCTCCATTCAAGAAAGTTGGGGTCACGTTTGAGTGAGCATTCTGGTGACCCCAACTTTCTTGAATAGAAGAGGCAAGGATTTGAGACTCTTAATTTTTTGTCAATGTTTGGATTGTTGATAAAGAAAATTAGATGACACTCGGAGGGCAGTTGTGTCTATTTCAAATGTCGCTAAACAGTTGGTTAATAGTTAGTTAACAACAGGTATTGGATTGTCATGTTTTGAAAGCTCGAGTACTGAATTATCGCATTTTAAAGTTTTGTGACGAAAGTGGCACTAAGCCCAAAGTACAGGGAATTAATCGGAAATTTTCCCTTATAATTACATTGGGCAAGATTTCGTGTTTTAGTAGTACAAATTCCAAGGAAAATGTGATGGGGGGGGGCAAATGAACATTGACACAGAATCATTGAAAGGTATCAATTGCCAAGGCCGTGTTTGGCTTTTTCCTTGTTAAGTTTCATAAGCATTAAGCAATGAGTTCTTAAGGCCGTGTTTGGTTGCAGTGCAAATTTATTTGCACTAGTACAAGTGTATGGGAGTACAAGTGTAAAAAATACAAATTCTTGTTTAATTTTGTTTTGGATTTCACTTTATTCTGCTTCGTGCTTTAATTTATTTCATTTGTATTGCAATCAAACAAAATAAGAAAAAATATGAAATCAAGCATGCTTTAATTTACTTTACTAGTACATGTACTGTTTCATGTTTTGCATCAGTGCAAATTTATTTGCATTGCAATCAAACACATCCTAAAGGAGGGATATGCTTGTATATGCTCTCTACTACAAATAATCAGAATTTAGAAGGACAAGAAGAAATCACAATTTCAATGGGAAGTCCAATATTTTGGACAATTTAGCAATAGTGGTGCAAGTTGGGTGGGCCTACTCCAAATCCGATCCGATTCAACCCATGATTTTGCATGAATTGGGCCTGAGTTTTTGGGCTTGGGTTGTGTGGTATCAGGTAGTTATAGCCCGGCCTGGCCCAACCCAACCTGAGCCTGTCCAAATAAATGCATTTATACATAATTTTTGAAGCCCAATAAAAACGATTGTTTAAAAAAATATAATCATAAAATCTTTTAAAACTGACTAACCCAACCAAGCCTGGATCAATCCAAATCGAATCCGAACCAAATCTGAATTGTGTTGAGTTATGCTCAGGTTAGGCCTGATTTAATAAACTCAAGGTTGACCTTGGGTTGGGCCAGACCTGAGCCCGAAGTTTGTATCTTAGGGCTGGGCCTGACTGACCCCCCACCTGACCCAACCCGCCCAAGTTGCATTCCTTTTCGATCTTTTTTTAAGAAAAAAAAATCACTGATCAATTAAAAGTGTAGAAATAAAAAAGTGTAAACAATTCTAAATTTAATAAAATCTATGTCACAAAATAATAGAAATCAAGTTACCATAATTTCTTTGTAAGCTTGGGTTATGAGTCAAGGCAGGCTACGTCATCCTCTATATCCTTTTATTATCTGAGATAGGATTAGCTGAATGTAATAGTTATTCAGCATGTGCACATCTATTATATATATGTATGTGTGTATTAAAGGAAGGTTTTCACGCAACAGTCATCACCCTTTAGACATGTGGCATTGTAAATTTCAATAGATAAAATTGTAGAAGAGGTTAAACTCTCACTCCTAAAAAGTCTATTCATTCACAAAAAAGTGATAACTCCACTCTCTTAAAATTTACACACCTAGCATCTTAATCCCTAAAAAGTGGCCAGTTTAAATGTTATGGTAGTAACTGAATTTTATTCAAACACAACCATTTCAAAAGTAATGATTAAACAAATAATTTAATTTAAAAATATTCAAAATATTAAATGGATAAAAATAAAAATATATAGCATTCATAAAAGTGACTAAACAATTAATACAAATGGTATGAGTTGCATTCTTTTAGATGAAATAGTTTATTAATTGCAAACTAGATTTAACTTTTTTTGGAAGAGTAACCTAATTTAGCTTTTAAAAATAAATTTATCAAATAAATAGTAAATACCAATTAAAGTGGGTTACTGCTTACAAATAAGACCTCATTTAATCTCTTAAATTATATTAAAAACAACATAAATTAATAGTGATTTTCAAACAAAATAGGTCAAATAGATTGTCAATTACAAAGATGTAAGACCCATGTTAATTTTTCTAATATTTTTTTATAGTTAAATAGTAAATTTCAAATTCAATAAAAAGCTTAACCTAAATGTCTAAAATAAATAATTTAAAAAAATGAAATAATTCAGATTAATTATCTCGTACATAATACGGGGGATCATTCCTAGTCAGTCATAAAAGCCCACAACCTTTCGACCTCTTAGTGTGGGCTCCATTTATTTTATTACTAGTGTGGGGCATTATAATTGATCCCACAATCTGCTACACAGCTAAAGCGCTCAATTAATGGTTAATAATGGCATGGTTTTGAAAACCGGACCGGAGTGGAAAACCTAAGAACTGGTCAGTTAACAAGTTCTGTTTCACCCTAAAATCGCTTTTTGGCCAAAAATCATTGATTTGATCAGTAACCTGCTGACCCGGGCGGTCAAATCATCAAACTATCGACCCGGACAACGGTTTTTAACCGTTATTTATTTTTTTATTTTTTAAGCCAAAACAGACCGTCGATTCAAACCAAATGGTTGGATCGGTTCTATGTCCGATCCGATTTTAAAACCTTGAATAATGGTTAATAAATTTTTAAGTGATCGCCCCTTCACCTGGAGTAAAGTGTTAAAATTCAAAAAAAAAAAATCAAACTGTCATAATTTTGTTGCGGATACATTGGATGGAATACAGGGTTAGCACTGCTCTAGCCAAGATAAGCCCAGGCGCACCTTGCTCCACTTAGTATGACAATGAACTACAACCAGGCCCAAACTCAGCCTGAGGTGTTGATCGTAAACCCAGCCCAACTATGTGGTATGGGATTCAGATGTCAGGCCGACCAAAACCAACCCAACTACAAATGGGAGCGGCTCTGATCGACAGGTGGTTAAACAAACTCACAGAACAACCTAGGAATCCACCACGTGGCAACTTAGTGAATACTCCACACCTTTTTATTTATTAAAAAAAAGAATGTTGGCCCAATTATCTTCGCCAAATTGTCAACCTCATTCCATAATATATTGGGAACGTTGGAGGACATGCCTTCTATTCTACCACCTCCTGATTTTTAGATCTAAAAAATGTTTAAATCCTAAATCTACCATCTCCTGTTTTTAGATCTGAATCTTAAATTCTTAAACCCTAAATTTTAAAATCTAAATCCTAAATCTTTAAATTTTAAGTCTCTAATTCCTAACCTTAAAATCTTAAACCCTAAATACTAATCTTAAATCTTAAGACACTAAAAATCTAAATTCTAAATTTAAGCCCCAAAACCCAAACCTAATCTAAACTCTAAACCCTTAAATCCTAAACCTAACACCCCTAAAATCTGCAATGTATAAAATGGATATGGTAGGTAGGACGCATGTCTTCCAACGTGGTAGGAACCCAGTATTTTTGGGCACTGTGGGCCTTAGGATGGGCCGTCCGATTCTCTAGCCTCGCAACAAAAGATTCTAATCCAAGCGTATGAGCTTGGATCTATCATATCAAAATGTAGCCACTTCCAGAGATCAGTAACCCAACAGGTGGGAGCTCAAAGGATGCATGCATGACTGAAAGTTCTGGACGTGTCTGTCTTGTAACAAAGTCCACCCTGCATGGTCGCCACGCTAGACGCTAACGGCTGCCCCTCAATTTACAATTTTAACCTTCCTCTGATTTTCTCTGTCTCCTGCTATTCTCTATTTTTTTAGTTATCTCACGAGGATAATTACGTAATTTTGGCATAGGCACGTCCACTCTTAAGTACTCCATCTCTGCAACTGCTAAAAAGAAGCTCTCCTTCTCCATCCATCCATCTATCTCTGGCAAAGAAGATGGGTCGAGGTGCTCTAACTTTCACGGTGGGTGTTGTGGCCTTAACCTGCACACTCACAGTTTCAGCGGTTCTCGGGGGCAGTATAGAAGAACCGAGAATATTTCAAGTCACAGATGATCCGACCAGCAGAAAGTTCGGGGGAGATTGGCATCTGGGTACTGAGAGAAAGTTCCAAAGCTTCGTGAATAAGTACGGTAAGAAGTACTCCACCAGGGAAGAGTATCTTTACCGACTCGGTGTTTTCGCTAAGAATATCATCAGAGCTGCCGAGAACCAGGCTCTTGATCCAACTGCAGTTCATGGAGTCACCAAGTTCTCTGATCTCACGGAAGATGAATTCGAGAGGTTGTTTACGGGGTTCAGAGGTGGATCTCCTTTCAACGATGTCTCTGCTACTGCACCCACCATGGAAGTTAAACGCCTGCCCAGGAATTTCGACTGGAGAAAGAAGGGTGCCGTCACCGACGTCAAGATGCAGGTTTGGAGCTCTCTCTCTCTCTCTCTCTCTCTCTCTCTCTCAGCTCCCACTGCTCTGAAATTTCAGTGGAAAGTTGAAAACGTCGAAATTGATGATGCAGGGAACTTGTGGAGCTTGTTGGGCATTTAGCACCACAGGAGCTGTCGAAGGGGCCAACTTTATAGCAACTGGGAAGCTTGTCAGCCTTAGCGAGCAACAGCTTGTGGATTGTGATCACATGGTTCACTGCTTTGATGACTCTAACCATAGCTCCATTTATCAGAATTCAGAAGCAATGTTGCTTCATACTTCATTTTTGAATTGATTATGATTTGTTCCATGTTTGTGTTTGTTTGTTTAGTGCGATAAGACGGACAGGACTTCCTGTGATAGTGGATGCGGTGGAGGCCTAATGACCAATGCCTACAAGTATTTGATGGAGGCCGGTGGCTTGGAAGAGGAGGAGACATACCCTTACACTGGAAAACCTGGTGAATGCAAGTTCAACCCAGAAAAAGTGGCTGTTAGAGTCGTCAACTTCACAAATATCCCTCTTGATGAGAATCAAATTGCAGCCCATTTAGTCCACCATGGCCCTCTTGCAGGTGAGCATTTTAAGTTTCTGGTTTAGATCTCTGAGACTACTGATCTTACACCATTGCTAGCTTCCTGTATCATCTCATATGAAACCAGGTGTTCGACTGTTTGTGTTTGTTTGTCTGATAGCCATGAAATTTATATATGCAGTGGGGTTGAATGCGGCGTTCATGCAAACCTACATTGGTGGAGTCTCTTGTCCTCTGATTTGTCCTAAAAAATGGCTAAATCATGGTGTGTTGCTGGTGGGTTATGGCGCCAAGGGGTTCTCCATTCTCAGGCTTGGATACAGACCCTACTGGATCATCAAGAATTCATGGGGGAAGGAATGGGGAGAGCAGGGGTACTACCGCCTTTGCAGGGGTCATGGCGTCTGTGGAATCAACACCATGGTCTCATCAGTGGCAACTGTGGCCTAGTTTATAAGCTTCTACTTCCTCAAAGCATGACATGTGTAGTTACTACTTACTAGTTAGACATCAAGTTGTAGCCAAATGGCAAGAAAATTACTACTGTGTAAACTAAATTTGGTGATGCAGATGTGATCTCGCATCATGTATATATAGCTAAACACCTTTAATTGCAAGCAAAAGAGATATGTGATGAGCCTCTCTAATGAAACTTCGGTTAACCCACCCCTTCTTATGAATGCTTCCAGCGTCCATCCTCTTGTATTCTTCCAACGTCTATTCAAGTAACTCTCGAGTAGGATCTTGTAGCATATACATGGGGAAAGAAACCTATTAACTGATAAATTCAAATTGGAGAAGGATAAGCTTAAAGGGAACCCAGAGACATTTCCTCCGATTCTTTTGCTTCTGTGTCGTTTTTAGTTTCGGATCTGTGGTTACCACCTATTTGCATTTCACTGGATCCCCAACAGGACTGCGCACTACAAAACCTCCATGATTATTCTTCCTCTACAATTTCACACCGCACGCCCTTCTTGGTATTAGCTCCCAGAAAGCAAATCTTCAAGTGTGGTGGTCTAATCCATCTCTCTGGTAGGATCAGTTGTTTAACTCAGAATTTTTTAGTAAATTCTAATTTGTTTATCTATAAAACAAAAACAAAAAAAAAAAAGATGAGAGAAATCCCATCTGACCAACATGAACTTCTTGGAAGTCGGGAACAACTTTTATTTAGAACGAAAACAACACGGCTGAGGTGAAGATGGTGGCATTGATGACAGAAAAAAAAAATAAAAAACTAGAGTTTCATCTCCGAGGAAACCTATGATTGCATGTAGATGTCATGGTTTTTAAAAACGAACCGGAAACAGAACCGATCAGGGGACCGGTTTCCGGTTAAGCGGTTCAACCATCAGGGTGACGTCATAAATAAATTAAAAATAAAAAAAAGCATAAAATTAAATAAAAAATAGGAAAAGTTACAGAAAATAAAACTATCTAAATAAGAAATAATACAGTAACAAAATATAGAAGATATAAAATAAAATACAGAAAAAAACATAAAATAATTCAAAAAATATAGAAAAATAAAACAGAAATTTGCAAAAATACAGAAAAAAAACTCTAGAATGCTAAATCCTAAAATGCAGAAATCCTTGACCTTCCCTGGCACCAAAATAAAAGGGGAGAAATATGAGCATTTCACTCTAGAATTTAATATTGCTATGCAACTTGTATGTCCTTAGTTTCAATCAAAACAATATACATTTATGTGTAATACCCTTAAACTGGACACATATGAGACTCGTGTTAGTTTATAATCTTCACAACCGTTGGATAGATCTGGGGAGATTTATCTTGTCAAGACTTACACTGATGTGCCGCCAAGTTGGTTGGGGTGGCTTGTCTCAGCTGCTAGGGTGAGACCTGAGGTACATGCAGTGAGTTTTTCTTGAAACCCTGAATCGGATCAAAATTCTAGTATTGCCCTGGACCTTTGAGATAGATGGGTAAAACTGAAATGTTACACCTAACCCCTAGACTCGATTATGATACTACACTAGGTATCGGATTAGGTTGTCTTTGATACGTCAATCAGTGAGATCCTTAGAAGGGGTCAAAACCTGGGTATATTAGGACAATTCAAGAATTCATCTAAGTGGGTGATCATAGTAACAGGATCAACCCCTTTGTCAAACAAAGTGAATGATCGGGGATGCACTTTCTCTGATGGAGAGGTTAAGTGCCATTGAGGGTAATACCTGATGGGCTAATCTTGCATCTGCCCACAGTCCTTGGGTTTTTATAAGATGGCTTGACCCAATGACCATTTAATGTAAATGTTGGGCTCATTAAGAGCCCATGGTGATTGACTCAGGGGTTCACTGTCTCCTACAATGAATTCAGCCAGGCCTTGTAACAGAGGCTAGGCTGAACCCATGTGGTTGATGTGTAGATCAATATTTAGGTCCCACGCCATACAAGGATAACCAACTGGGCAGCAGATTGAGGGGCTAGTGAACATATAGACTTAATGGGCCTAAAGCCCAATTCGAACTGGCATAATGAGATTAATTAAAAGGGGGTGGTTCTAGGATTTAGATCAACAAATAGGATAAAGAATTATCCCTATCCACTAAGAGAGTCTGGATCCAAATAAAGATTTGGATCAGGAAACTCCTAATTAGATTAAGAAGGTTGATCTTTATCTGCAGATAAGATAAGGGATTATCCTTATCTCTTAAAAAGAATCTAGATCCAAATACAAGATTTGGATTAGGAAACTCCTAATGGAATTAGGAAAACCTCTCTTTAAGGCTATAAATAGGAGAGCAAGGCGAACCCTCAGTACACATCAAAAATCATCTGACTAACTGTTGAATTCCAGAGAGAGACAACACAGTTTGACTGCACTGTCTCCTTCTCTCCTGCTCTTGTCGTCATACCAGTTCGACCTCCACTTGTGGGAGCGATCAAGAAAAGTTCTTGATATTACCTTTTGGTAGAAAAGGTAATCTGAAGTCGTGCTCACTAGCCCTCAATCACATTCTTACTGAAGAATTTGGTTCTTGTTGAAGAATCGTCCTGCTGATTCTACTTCATCCTGCACCGTGTCATCTTCGATGGAATCAGTCTTTGGATCTTTCCTTGGGCGTGAATACCTTCATTGGATTTGGTCTTTGGATTCTACTTCGTATCAGGCATATCCCTCCACTCCATTTTGGTTTCAGATTTGGTCTGGTTTTGGTTCAAGATTGATCCTTGAAAATGCAGTTTTCCAAAATAGGGAATGAGATTCTCACATGAGAGAGAGAAATTTTTGAAATTTCGCCCAACCTTCCTGCAGGGTTCGGCCATCCATATGATGGATCTCTCATCCCTTCAAATTGATCTCTAAAAGACTTCAATATACATTAATTTTACCTAATTGATCAAAAAATTACATTAATTTGTACCTAAGCACCATGCCAAATGCTGCTCCCTAAGCTTCAATCAAGCAAAACTTCAAATTTCTTTTTTTTTAATTTCTGAGAATTTTTTTAGAACTACTCCCAGGTGTCAAAACACTCACAATCAATCTCCAAATCTTTAGAACTACCCGTCACTGCAAACTTGCCTGCCGCAAAGCCTAGAAGTGCTACAAATTGCAAAAAACGCTGGCCACCGCTGCAAATTCACCATCACCGATCGTAGTTAATCGTTGCAGGTCGGTGTGTCACCGTCGAATGCCGGAGGTGTTGGCCGCTGCAGGTGGTCAATTGGGTGTGAGGGATGGCCACCGCTACAAACTCACCTACCGCAAAGACTATAAGTGTTGCAAATTGCAAAAAACGCTAGTCGTTGTTGCCGATCACTGTTAATCGTTGTCGAACGCCAAAGGTGTTGGTCGTCGTAGGTGGTCAATTGGGTGTGGGGGCTGAGAGGAGGGAAGAACGAAGGGTTAGAACAAAAATGGGGTTCTAACCCTACTCTCGATTAATCGATTTGGGATGGGGATATTAAAGTAATTTTATTTTTTGTTTTTTTTATTTTAATTAAAATAGTGAAAATAAAAAAGAGAACCCATGACCTACTGCCCGGGTCAAACGGTTTAGTGGTCTGACCGCCCAAATCAGCGGTTTTTTAACTTTTTCAACGTTTTTTAGAGATTTCCAGTTTTTAGTATAATCGAACCTGGGGGCCTGACCAATTACCGATTTTTCCGGTCTGACTGTCCGATCCAATCCGGTTTTAAAAACCATGGTAGATGTTATAAAAGGGTCCTCCAGGACATACGGTTAGACCTGACAAAAAGTTGATCCACAAAAAAAAAATTGGATTGGGTCATGGGTCAATTATTAGGTTTAATTGGGATTATTTGTATATTCTTAGACGCTTTTTCTCTTTCATCTTTACTATTGTTACTCTTTATCGTTTATGTTTAAGATTTATTTAGAATTTATAAGGTTAATTTCTTTAATTTTGATATTTTTATGTATTTTTTATTTATTTTATAAAAAAATTTATTATTTTAGGGATTATCCAAATTGACCTGTGCATCAAACCCTAACCCGAACATTTAGGGTTAGGGTCTAATATTTGTTGGCCCAACTCCAAATTTAACCCAACCCGAAATCAATATAGACCCAACCCGAACCCGATCCACCAGGTAATGAAAATGCATCAGTGAAAATTAAAGGCTCTATGCCTCTTATCATGCGTAGGCGTAATTTGATGTCACGAGGATGAATGAAGTATGCTTTAGTGTGACGGGATCTGCTCCTCACAAATCGCCTCACACGCACATCCACCGTGTGTGTATTGGGAGCATCTCCCGTGAATATTTATTAACAAGTACGGAAGATGTTCCCAATGCATGATAGGATGTGTGTGTGAGGCGCCAATTGCGAGGAGCAGATAAAAAGGAAAGACGGGCCAACATCCAAGCGGCCGATCTCTAGGGCTGAGGTAGAGCATGGAAATGGAAGATGTGAATGTGATTGCCTTAAATAAACAGCAGAATTTACATTATCCACCTTGCTCGCAACTGTTGAAATCATGAATTATACAAGATCACATCTCCGCCCCACAATGCCCCACAGTACATCCCCGCCGGGTATTGTGGGGCGGCTCCTTGTGGGGGCGGAGATGTGAAATCGAATTTTACCAGGTCTATTACTATTAATTAGTACTGCAATATTGGAGCCTAGTAGAGATTTTCAAATGGACAAATTGTCACAGACTCGGACCATGAACAAAAAAGTTATTTTAAATGAAATTGTTTGATTATTGTCAGTAACTTCCAACAACACGCAAGAACGGAAGAGGTATGAATATTATAGACGAAAGCAACCTTCTGTAACCACATCAGGTTAAGTCACAGACATCAGGATACGAGTTAATAACCCTTATCCACCTAAAGTACTACCATCACAATAATCAGAAAAACTGGGCTCAAAGAAATTGTCCTGTGTATTCATCTTTGTGATTGAAAATCAAAAGAACGGCTGAGTTGATTTCATCGAATTGATGTTAGATGCAAGATTCTTATTTGGGTACTTTACGCTTTACACAAGTCAGCTTATTGCTAGGAAGCAATTATGACATGGTCAAGTCTGCTTCATATACACCAAGATATTTTTGACATTGAGCTTATACATGATGACTGTTGTGTGTCTTAGGAGAATTCACCCTAAAAACTCCCTGTTAGAGGGAGGGAACCCAAGCACATATATACCCC